CTTCAACTCCTATCTCCCATAGATCCCGCCTGACATTATCCTCCCATCTACGTCTAGGTCTCCCCAGGGGTCTCTTCCCCTCAGGCTTTTGTCCCATCCATGCGCGCTACATGCCCCGCCCATCTCATTCTTCTCGACTTAATCACCCTGACAATATTGGGGAAGGCATGAGGAAAAGAATGGAGACAACAGACAGAAAGGGCAACTTTTAAGTCACAGCCATAACTGAATCTTTCAGGAAACATGAACCCAGTTTGCACTTCCCCGTCGTATTCAGATCGGGTTCAAAGCCACCCTCCTACCTAAGCCTAAGTATTCCAAGCGGTCGCTTTCGAAACTTTCCGACCAAAACAACGCACGCATTTCTCATCTCCGCCACGCCCGCTATATTTTCTGCTTATCACACGATCTCGAAGTCTCCCAATGCACCGCGAGACTCCGTGGCATGATTCAGAAGACGCATATTGCCTCTTGAAACAGAGTTCAACAGAAAGTTGTTAACCCCCTCTTCCCGCAGGACGCGATAATAATAAGAAGTATTATGCGAAGCAATTAGCGGTACGGGTTCATAATTTTCGTCCTGTCCTTGATGAACATGCTGTTACCATATTGCTGGTTCGTTTTTGGTTTTCCAGTGGTCTGATCGTATATTTCGTGGGGTGGGACTTTAAGCTGGTAAGGATATGGCACAAGAATGGACCAACAATAGAAACGAATGTGTTCTTTCGAAACATCTGTAACCATTAGGATTAGCATGAACGACGTCATAACCTAGTATACCACAATCAACATGACGTTAAAACTTCGAGTCTATGATATTCTGAACAGAGGTTTCGTAAAATTAAGAATACTTTAATTATGACGGAATCTGAGTAGAGAGGCGAGGGGGAGGGGTGGTGGAGACAGCGAGGAGGGGAAGGAGGAAGGGAGAACTAATATGTCGCATGGAATTCAAGAAATGACAGCAGACTCCCCTACAGACGAGCAGCTTTTCCACAGTACTTCTTAATCATGTTTCATACCAACTTAGGTAAACTCTCTCCATGCTACAAACGAAATATCCCTCACGACCACCACACCTGCCCTCTGTAGGCCAAACTCTGGTGATGGACGATGTTAATGACTCACACGTTTCTTTGTGATACTTCAGCTGTTGTGGGTAGTGCCGATTCGATCCTTCGTGAGCTATGGAACGACTCTGAATCAACTACTAGCGCGAGATTAGAGCACAGTCTATTTTGAAAGCAAGTGGTCGTGGCCTGGAAGATCTCAGGAAAACTACGTTTGAACTTAAATTTAGTCTAACAATGAGTCATACCAAAATACGGAAAAATACAGATGAGTAATAAATGTGACTTCAGGAAGGGATAGGATGAAGTGGCCACTGTAATGTTAGTCTGAAAAGAACGTAGGAAACAATGCAGGTGTATCTGGCCAGAACAATGTAATGCCACTAGCAATGCAATCTATTATACCAATGTGTATATTAAGGGCGATAATTCTCTTATCGGTCATGCAGTACCATATGGAAGTCCTGATAACAATTGGCGGCTTCAAATACGAACGAATCTCATTCAAATACCACATCCTTGGAATGAAAACACAATCGGGGAGTTTGCAAACGTAATTGTTACAGAATAACTTGCTTCTAACGACATATGTACTTGTAGCCTCTCAGCTGGTTGTCTGCCTGTTGGTCACACTGGCACATGAAGTAGAATGAGGGTGGGATCCGACATACAGGGGTTGTACACAGTCGGGTTATACAACCTTATTGATCGTCGCCGGTGCCACACCCTAACACAGTCTTCGACTCAAGCACTTTCCAAAACATATGATGGTCAACCCTGGACAGGAATGTCCATCAGAATGACGGATGTGATTTTAAACGGGACATGTAAATATCTCACGAGCTATGGTAAAATGAGATACGCGCGACGCCGGCACCTGTTGATGGGCGTCATCCTGACAGTAACATCCTCTGCGACGCGGCACCTATGCGCCATGTTACATAACAAAAGTAGTGATGGGTATTTTTCGTTTTACTATTTCGCTTGCAGTATCCAAGGAGAACAGCGTGAATACCTTTATGGTTCGAAATAAGCGAAACGAAAGACGGAAATCGCGTATTTCACAAACTAATTATATTCCGTTTCATTTCAATGAATACCATATCGTACCGCCGGTTGAAAACAGACTATTACGTTTTGCCACTTTTCTAACAGGAATGATGTGGGAAACGGACAGTTTTGAAGCAAACCTGTTCATCACAATTCGATAATTGGGTGGGGGGAGGTTAGTTTCTTTAGTCGAGTGAAATGTTGACAGCGGAAAAGCAAGGTTCGGAGACTGAGACAGCAAAATAAGTATTTACTGAATGTAGATCTATAAAATTATTACAGAATTATATTCTACGCTCACTGAAGCTACCTGATTAACATACTGACGCCTAGATGTAAGTCTATACAACAATAAAACAAAAGCAAAAGATATTTATTTACGAAATAATATCACACTCACCATGCCTTCACCCTAATGAGGATTTCCCCTTCGCCCAGTGTTGGTTCAGGTTTCTTCAAAACCTTGACAGATTTAAGACCTCCGAAACCGGTGAGCACGACGGCTCGCATTTCTTTTGGAGGCTGCTCTGGAGTTTTATCAGCAGTTTCATTTTCCTCAGCTGAAACTTCTGGCTGCTCTGCCTTCTCTTCGGTCGGCTTTGCGTCCTGTTGATCAGACATTTCAGTGACGAATAACTACGACACTACCACGAACGAAGCCGCGCTCTGATATGTTGGGCTTTGTTGGTATAATCTGCGCTCTTGTCCTTCGGAGTCGCTGGCAGTAAGGAAGGGGTAGTAACAAGCACAGATGTCGTGACCATATGACTGATTTTCATGTCGCTTGGACTCACAGATTACCAACAAAAGTCTTTTAAAGGAGACGTTGGAAAAACCAAATGAGTAAGTAGATGGGTAAGAAACGGGACAGTAACAGAAGCAGTTTATTTATTTTTCACTAATTAAACGATATTGTTAGACTAATTCATAAATAATTCATCTGAAATTAAGAGACATCATTTTAACGCAAATTAACCTACAATTGGGTACTTTCATTATTGGGATATTGGCTGCCCTGTAACGAAAGTAATATGGTTTAATTTGGCATTTCTTAGCGTACCATAATTAAATGATAATATGGTATGTCTGTTTGTTTTTACTGCTTTCTGTGCCATAGTTAGTATACCCTACGTCGCTAGTGTGTGTTCTAAGGTTCAGTTAGCCTCAAAAAGGGAAACTTCTCCTAACATAACCTCAAGCATAGCAACAGAGGCCACTGTGTCATCTGTGTGGTGTTACAGAAATGGCTATAGGAAGTTCTGTACGTTCCAAAACTTGTGTTATGCACCACATGAAAAACAATTTATCTTTATACTGTCAAATAATTCAATTCTTTCAGGTGTTAGGGACATAAATGACCTGAAAACAATAGATTTATCATCTATAACAAACCATAATGGATTTATAATGAAGTTGATGATAGTTACTTCAGATAATGCAATTTTGAAAAGAAATCGAATTACTGTAGCACGTGGTTTCATTCTTTGGAGATTCAAATGGGATAACATAATGCATGTTATACATGATGATTTACTGCCCCTTTATACAACCTATGAGAGGATTTGTACAGGAAATGTTGACAAATGTGTATCACAGTATCAAGTAGCATTTGCAGATGAAGGGGAACTTGGTCCATTGAGTGAGTGGTATAATATTTTCTCCAGATCGCAACCATTAATTTTACACAGAGGAGGAGTACACAACATAATTTGTTTTGATGAGGGTCGGACGGGTCTAGACAGTGACAGTGTATGGTTCCAGTATGGGTTTGGGATTCCACAAGGACCTACTGCTGATACACAAATTAATGGAAACAAATTACGGCAATTTTCAGAATTTGTAATACACAAGTTTAAAATACCCATGCCACCAAAGTCAAAGAGTACAAATGTGATGTTTTTCAGTAGAAAAATTAATCGCAAGGTTCTAAATGAAAGTACTGTGTTGAAGAAAATTCAAGATGTTTACAGAGATGTTTTCCCCCTTGGTTTTAAACTAAGAATTTTTAACGCGGACCTTACAACCAATGATACAAGACATATCCTGTCATGTTTATTACAGTCACAGATAGTTGTGGGTATGCATGGTTCTGCCATGATCTTGACTATATTCTTGAAACCAGGATCTGTTATAATAGAACTGTTTCCTTTTGGTATTAACCCTCAATATGTCTCTGCTGTGAAGGTAATTTGTGACCTCCCAGATACTGGACTAATCTACAGTTCATGGGTAAACAATGAAATAGAAAATACAGTGACACATCCTGATGCACCTGCACTGCTGGGTGGAATTAGTCACCTATCTGCAGCTGAACAGAAGCAGATAAGAAGTATTAATGAAATTCCTAAAATGTTGCCACAACCCAATGTATCTCTACAGAATGTTTCAGGACACTGTAGTAGGAAATGACTTTAGTGTTTTATTGAAAGCTGCATTTTTAAGACAGAAAGTGTTCTCAATAGAAGCTTTCAATGAGAACTGTATGTCTCAGATGCTATCACAATGGTATTTCCCAGCTCCTGTTAGCAATATCATGTGCAGTTATGCTTCTTGTGACAGAATTGTCACAGTGACTTGGGTTCCTCCCCCAAATACGAAAGATCCAGAATATCAGGTCTCAGTCATCATTACCAGTGTACTACAGTTTTCTACAAACAGCATACAACCTGAACTCAAAATTTTTCTTCCACATTCAGTTCACGGTGATATTGCAATTGATCTGTGGGTAAAGTGTGTTGAAAAAGGACAAGATAGTTTGGACACTTACACACAATGTAAAATACATGCCTGAGGGAAGTATTTCATTACTTGTTCAATTTTAAGTTAATGCATTTCCAAGCTAGTTTGCAAAATATTCTAAAGAGTCTTCAGTAATAAAAATTTACAATATGTTGTGTGCAACAAATTTCATTTGTGCAGCACTTAAGCGCACAAGGGTAAAAAATGTTCTTGTGTTATTCTGCTTCTTGTAAAATGCAGTTAGGCATAATGTAAACATTTATTTGTGAAATATTATGCCTAGTCTAGGTGGTATATGGTAAGTTTTGGAATTACTGAGTTAACCCTGTACTATATGGGTCTGATCTGTGAGACAGCAATGATTTGTCAAGTTTATTGTATTATTTACATTATTCTTCAGCCAATTCCTGTGTGATTGTGTAATTTCTTAGCTCCTCACAGTAAACCCCCTTATCAGTCCCATCTGCTGGTGACTGTCATAGGTGAATTATTAACTCTTGACACAAGTGGTCTGGTAGAACACACCTGGGTTCTAATGTTACAGGTGGTATTCTTGGATCCTCTCTTATTTAGAGATCTGCAATTATTAGAATTCTGAAGAAACCAGATTCAGTTAGTTGGAGGAAAAAGAAGGAAGTTATGTACACAAGCATGAAGATTTTTCAGTTATTAGTGGTCATGAGTTTCCAAATTAGGTGTAGTGAATGTTTTTATGATAAATATATTCATAAAAAAGCGATTTTCATGTTCCCATGCTTTAATATGTAGAGCAACTAGTGACTGCCTTATATGGAGATCAGAGTGAAAATTCCTGAATCACATATTAAATTCAAACATCTATTAGCAGAACCTCAAGCAGAGGAAAGAGGAATACATGTTACATGTGTCCCATAACTGAAAAGAAAAATTGCAGTACTTGTCATATATCTGAAGTATATAAACTCATGCATACAAACAAAACTGTTTACACTTTGAAAAACACTTAGTGCCAAATGCATTTTAACCTCATGAGGTCATCATCAGTGGCAAAAACATGAATTCATTAGTCTGTTACTTAGCTTAATGTCCACTGGCCTAAGTTGAGGTTTCCGTTGTTGGACAACGGTGAGCTGTGGTTGCATTGTGTGTGTCTGAATTGTGTACTTCAATGTTGTGTGGGTATTACTGTACAGTAAACAGTTTTGTTTGTATGCATGATTTTATATATTTCAGATAAATATTCAACGCTGCATGCTTAGAGTGCATCATCACTGCAGTGACAGTATGTAAATGTCAACTTGATACTGCCATGAAATTAAAATATGAATGCCTTGGGACTTTGAGAAATTCAGTACTTAAGGATCACAATTTTGTTAATTTTATAACAGTTTCAATAGTGTATTTTCCTTATGTGTAACAAACCTTTCTTGAGTATGTAAAAAAACAACTTGTTTGCGAGTACAATTTTAAAATTTCTAATTTATTAAAACAGTTATGTTAAGATTATACCTGAAATAAACACATCTCCTTGTATATATACTTCTTTCCTGAACTTTACCAATGCACAGACTATGTATAATACACAAGGACTAAGGTCATTGTCCTAATTGCTATATTTTTAAGAAATACACTGGTCTCAGATGGGACATTTGTAAAGCTATCCTCCAACTCTTCGTTGACCAAGAGGCTTCAATATAAAAATGTACTATGACTTTATTCCATGGTGACTGTTGAATACTTTAATAATTTCTGACCAGTGCAAATTACACACCATATCAAATCATATTAGTCTTTTCAAATATTTGCAGTTTTTCTAGCAACACAGTAGAAAAATTTACATTAGCACTCATGTAGGAGAACCTGAACATTAACCCTACTTGCCACCACCAAGTTGTTCAATCCATCCATACCGATAAACTGATACCAAAGTAAAGTGGAGCATGTTACACATCTGTGTTGCATGTCAGCAACACTGACATACTCAAATCAGTTTATTTTGCCTACTTTCACTCCATAATGAAGCATGGAATAATTTTGGGGGGCAATTCATCTAATAGTAAAAAATATTTACTTTAAAAAAGAAAAATTTTAAATTAATGGCTGATTTCAAACCTAGGATTTCATGCAGAAGTCTATTCAAGAGATTAGAGATCTTATCCCAGAAGACAGCCGTTGTTGTACTTAATGCAATGAAAACCTCAAATTCTACAAAAAGATAATTACACACTCTTACTCTGCTGACGAATTTCTGTTGTTCACAAGGAAGCGAATGTTCATTAAGGTTTGCTTGTCTTCATATAATATAAATGGGTCATATAATTTATCTACTATATGTAATGGGTGGATTTATTTGTAACATATCACTAATAATGTGAAATCTTGATAATAGTATTAATTCTACTTGTAATATATGTATATTCTATTATTATGACTTACTCCATGTCCTGTCATCATCCAACTAGCTTATGGATCCATTGATTGAAATGGACGTATGTATACCCAAAATCCATCTTTGTTAATCTTCCACATTCTCAGTCTTACAAGCTGCCACTTCCCCACATTATGTATGTGTACCTGGTGTCTCCTACAACCTTCATCCTCAGTTCATCATAACACATTTTATTTTACTACCCTAAATATTATATTAGAATTGTGTAATGTATTTTTGCCATCTTGAAACCAAGTAAGAATTAGCATTTCATATGATTCTTGACTTTTTTATTTTCATAAGTACCAACTTACCTTACAACCAAGAACCCAGCTACAGATAGATATGTCAATATGAATATGCAATTTACAGAAATTCAGAAATAAAGGTGAAGTCAACATGTTCAGAGCAATGCAAAACAAACTTGTCCTATTTCATTCGAACATTTCACTAATGAACTGTGTAACTACAATGACAAATGTGTTTTCCCAGGAATGCAAGGGTTCATGAAAAACAAGTACACATTTTATGATTACAATTTACAATTTAATTTTTATACCTATGTCATAACAATTTATGTATGTGGAAGTTTAAAGATAAAATACTCTTGACTGCATTAACTTTACGGGTAGTTACAATACAGTACATATTATACAGCACACAAATTACTGGCAACAGAAATGTAAACAAAATTCAACACCCCACAACCTAGTAGGCATATTATTATCCACAGTACTTCAAGAACTGCAAATGCTTTTATAAAAAAAGGGAACTATATAAACATCTTGCTGACAAGCTAATGCCTCCATCATTATCAGTACCACCATAATAAGAAAACAAAGATGATAATTCTACTTTCAGCACTGAACAGATATATAAATTGCTGACAGTGACACACATAAGCCAAGATATGTATATTTATATGATACTGAATTTCAGAGGTTTATGTTAATGCCATGGTAACTGGAATTTGAAGTATACACATATAAATCTCAAGAATCATATTATTCACATCTTATTTGGTCCTTTCAGACAAACTGAGATTACAAAAATCATGTGCACTATGTGTGTCCAGCAATAGCAATTACATTACATTGTTCACTCATCTGTGGTACAGTCTGAGATACAGCTTATATATTCTTCAAGTATACAAAGTTTCTGTGTATAATTCTTGCTTCAACTTATGATTAATGCAGATGATGTTGAATGTAATATAATTATTTTGACCCTGAATTCAATTAATTAGATTAGCATTGCAAATTATGACACTATTTAAATGTGTAAAAAAATAAAAACCAAACAACCCCCCCCCCCCCGGGAGGGGGTAGAAACATGCAAGGGGTAAAAGTTTGCATTTCTTTTTTGTGTGCAGAAAAGCTGAGGGAAGAAGCCGGGTTTTTTTTAAGTTTTTCCGTCGACTATTCACATTAAGAACGCCAGACTGGTGCCAGAAAAAGGGTTAATATCAGTACGGTTGCCACAAGAACTATGAACTGAAAAACACATATAAGTTATAAGTCAGCAGGTCTGTACGCATTTTGCACACTTGAGCATGGGAAACCCACAAACCTGATTGTGGAATACATAAAATTCTGTCATTAATTGTATATATCACAGTCTAATTACATGAAGGGAACACCCAATTAGCCTGTAAGATTTTAGATGACACAGAATGCATGCACGAAAGTCAAGTTCAAAGTTAATATTAAAGGCCATGGGATGCTACAGAATTCAGTAGTAGCAGTAGTCAGAAGATGATTGTAGCCAGCTGTCACAGTACAGTCCTTGGTTTTGGCTTTGGTTCTGTTATTGATTTTTGATTTCACTCTTAGTCAATCATATCAAGTTATTTTCAACATTTTTCAATCGAATTATTAAATACACAGTTGAAGTTAGCAACCCTACTAGTCCTCTCAGTTTAAAATGGGTGGTGTGACAACCCAAGCAACCATATTAATGTCATAATATTATCTTAATGCCAGTACCAACTCCTTGAAAAAGTTGGATGAAGCAAAAGAGTTAACAATGACAAAACAGGCCTATTCTGGAAGTGTATGGCCAGTCACCTTTTCATTTCAGTCAAAGAGAAGACAATGTCTGGTCTGCAAGCTACAAGCCTGCTTTAGCTGGGATGCAAAGCTTCTTGGGACTACAAATTAAGGTCTCTCATTATGTATTCTTCATATTATGCACATAAAGAACTATTTAAATCTAAAATTCTCTCCAGGACCACAAAGTTAAGACTGTACAGGACACTTATTAGACCGGTAATAATTTATGGGGCAGAATCTTGGAAACTCAAATCTCAAGTAGAAAGCAAGTTGATGTGCTTTGAAAGGAAAATTCTATGGAAAATCTTTGGCCCCCTAAGAATAATGATGGATCGTACAGAATTAGATATAATGCGGAGTTAGAAGAATTGATCCATCATGAGCACATTGTGAGATATATTAAATCACAACGGTTAAGATGGGCGGGACATGTGGTCAGAATGGGAGGGGATAGACTGCCAATTTTGGTATTAAACCAGAAATTGTGGGGAACAAGACCTAAAGGAAGACCAAGGGGAAGGTGGATTGATGCGATAGAGGAAGATATGAGAAAGATGAAAGTGTGCAACTGGAAGAAGGTAGCTCAAGATAGGAAGAGATGGGGACATATTGTTCAGGATGCCAGAGCCCACCAAGGGCTGCAGTGCAAGAGAAGAAGAAGATTATGTATTCTTCACAAAATACACCAGCATTGAAGGGATACATAAAAACAAGATTACATGTTGTGTAGAGAATGAGCAAGAAAGATAGAATAACAACGATATTCAGTTAATATTTTAGAGGGAGTGTGAAGCCACAACATGAAATAAGTCCCTAAAGTGAATATGATTTTTCAAGGGAACTGCAATAGGCATTCAAAGCCTATTTTTTAAAGGAGAGGATGTCCTTTAAAATTCTTGTTTTTCTGGATAATGTTCATCACAAACCCAATGTTTCTGAATTCAGATAAAATATTAAGGTGATGTCCCACCCAAACTAAAACACCACACTGCTCTTCCAACTGATAAATCACAGTTACATCAAACCTTAAAGCATTCTCCAGTCTTATCAGGGAATTTTATGCAGATAATAAGCCAACCATCAACAATTTAATCTTGAAAGATTAAATCTTACATATTTGGGGAAACTAACCATTATACTATACATTTCCAATTTCACAATTTTTTTTTGTATGGGGCAATTGTCTAGAATGTAACCTCCATACGTTACAAGAGCCCATGCTTACTAAACATTCAGCAGACTGAACTGTGTTACACACACAGACAAAACACACACACATATATATAGAACTCACAAATTCTATTTCAGTACAGATCAAGAAGCTTGCAACACCTATTTTCCTTCAAATGCTTCAGTCTATGTGGTGCGAGTATAAAAAACCATCAGTAAGTACACAATTTAATCATGCACATCTGGACAGAACTTCATTAGTGCAGATTTTGTCAAATATATCCACAAATTTTTGTGCTTACCACATTTCTAACTTTAAACATGCAACAAGTTAGGAAATGCATGCACAGTGTAATAATTCTAGCACATGTCCCAAAATGTGAACTTGGTAAACGGCACCAAGATGATGTCAAACTTGTCTGTGGTCAATGACTTTTCACATTCATAGCGCAGAGCCAGCAGCTCCCAAATATCTTTTTTTTATTTCCCCTCAGAAGAAAGTAGTCGATTTCAAGAAATAAATTTTTCTTTGCAGTTTTAACAGTAACACATCTGTATAAAAGTGATACTTGAATCATTAGGTGCAAAGGAGAGTAAACTGTTTTTATTTACTGCACCAAAATTAAAATTACTTAGTCTAATAATTCAGGGGAACAGAAAAAAAATTTGAATCCTACAAGCAACAAAAATTATTGTTAGGACACTGATGCTAATGTTATGTGCCATGTTAATGACAAATATACCTCTCTATAAAGATATATTACAAAACATCTACCAAACTTTGGGTCGTTATTCAGTGGCTTACTCTGAGTGAAAAAGTTTCACCAGGATAGGTCAAAATCTCAAATGGGTGGAAGGACATTAAAAAAGGGCATATTGAATTAAATTACTTTAACTGAAGAAATGAATCAACTACATAAGAATGTACATATATTTATTTTTCCAGTCTATACACAAAACTTGTTTTAAATTATTTATAACATTTACAATAATAATATAATAATGTTATAAATAATTTTAAACAACATTATTTTAAAACAAGTTTTATGTATAGACTGGAAAAATAAATATATGTATTGATATAACACAAACATGACGCAATTAAGATATACATAAGAATGGTATTTTACTCATGTTTAACATATGCTTTGACATAATGTACATACTTAAGCAACTTGCTGTTTGAAATGCATTGGCTATGCACAAGCAAGCTCATTTTTAAAACAACATGCGGTGCTTTCTGTATGCTTTCATGATTGTCCTGTTGACAGCAGCACAGTCCAGGACTTACTGTACAAGTTCATCTCATGTCAGCAATTTCTGGTGAATGGGGTAGCCAGACATGCAGACCTCTATGACCAATCCAACAATTTTCAAAGCACCAAATCAAGCACTGTGTGACTTGCAGACAGAACTGAGGTGGAGTTTCATAACGTTGCAATCACATGTTTAGTCTGGCATGGAAAAGGACATTGTGTAGGAATTGCAGATAGCAATCTGCTGTTAAAACATCCCTCAATAAAAAATGGCCCAACGGGTTGCTGACAAAACTGTGCCACATTTACAAGTGCTCTGAAAGGATGGTGGGTGACAAAGATAATGGGAATAAGTACATAACAGTAGAGATTTTGACCCATGTTGATAAAACCTTTTAACTGAAAATAAGCCAATGGATGAACACCTGAAGTTTGGCAGACATTTCATGAAATGACTTGCATAATGAAAAAGGCTCAAAAATAATTTACAATCTTACAGAAAGCAATCTTTTAAATTGTCCAATCTAAATAAAAAGA